TGCCTTTTCTTTTTTTCATCAAATTTTTTTAGATTTATTTTCTTTACCAATTATTGTCTTAAATTTTTACATAACCCACTTTGTTGTTTCATTCATTTATTCATAACATACCGTTTTTAAGCGTAATTCTGTTTCATTAGCATTTAATTTTAGAGCACAGTTGCATTTTTTATTTTTTAAGCTGTCTGACTCAGATGTTTTCTGCATCATACATTTGGTTTCATGTAATTTTATATCAATTATTTTCTTAAAGAAAAAAACTTTTTTAATTCATCTTATGGTTTACACTGAACAATTTTTCATCATTTATCTTAATTACAGATTATTTAGCAGACATTTTATTTGGTTTTTATTTTGATTCGCACTTTAGCTTCACATTATTGCAAACGCCATTTATCCGCATCTGAGCCAAGAAACTAGCACCCTATCAGTCAACCAAAAAAGGCTTAGCAGGATTTTTCAATTTGCTAACAACAGACTAAAGTAATTAATGGTTATATCAAATATAAACAAAAGAATTAATATAAGTAAACTGCAGCTACATGCAAATCAGTAAATAGAAAAACAACAAAAAGTAATGCATAGCATATATACAGAAAAGTCAGTTTTTACAGTCAATGTCAAAAAATTGTTAGTAATAAAGTTTACAACCATTATAAGACTTATTATTGGATTGAAGACTATTTCTACTATTTTTTGGGCACCAAGATAAATATTTCACATTTCTTATGTTGTACCAACTGCAAGTCGGCTTCAATATCATTCTAATCCTGTCATTCTCAATAAAAATCATGTACTTTTTTTTTTTCAAAAATCCCTCGACTACCTGTTCTGCACCTTTATGCCGTCCCATCTAAATGTTTGTCTCATCTCGCTGATTGAAAATTGAATTTTTAGACTAACAGTAATTTTCAGCTGATATTCATATGGTTGCGCTTACTTATTCTGATTGCTTTACAGTTTCTAAATAATGCAAATGATATTACGGCCCATTAATAACCTTTATCCGATGTATGCAATTTATGACTATTCTATTAATATTAACTCGCTGCAAGCTCCCTCTTTTTGCCTAAAATAGACCAAAAGTTGAGGATTTGGTTCTTCATTCGTGAACTGAACTACCTTTGCATCCAATCAGCAAAAATTCAAGTTTTTTCCTTCTTGAACAACTTTTGTTACCGCTGATCTTTCGCGCACTTCGTTTACTAATTTTTGTTGACTCAGCAGTCCCAGCTATACAATCGCCGACGTCATTTTACATCTGCACATATTATAAACGTTCCCTACCTATCCCCATAATAAACCTTTTGTTCTACAAATGTCACTTCACTTTTTATACCAACAGCTCTCGTAAAGTTTTTCTTCTGTATACTAAATTCCTACAATTATTACTTAATTGAAACTTTAACCATATTTCACCACAAACTCCAAATCACAGGTTCACTATTTGGAAAAACCCACGTAGTAGTTGATATCCCATAATATATCCTGGCATGCACAGATGGTTTTTCTTAGAGTTGTTCCATGTTTGCAAGACTTGGTCCATTGAATATCTTAGTGAATAAAGAAAAAAAAAA